AAAAGTAAGCGAAAAGTAAAAAGAAGAAAGAAGAAAAAGATCGTAATAAATAAAAAAAGAAATCTTTTTTTCTTTAATCCAAAGAAACTAAGAAATATAATTTCGAAAATAATTATTTATGGTTTATAGGAGATCGAGAGAAATTTAAAATTTAATATTTAAGGAAAAAAAGATAAGATTTAAAAAGGCGATGAATTATAATTAATAAGGATTAAAAAATTAATAACATATTTCGAAAGTTTAAAGAAAGAGAAAGATTAAACGTTGAAGTCATTTGTCATCAGAATATTTAAAAGAAATGAGAGAGTGGAGGAAGGGGGAAGCAAAAAAGAAAAATCGAAATATGGAAATTATTATTTCAAGAACAGATTAATGAAACGAATGCGTGAAAAATTGTTATTTAAAAAAGTAATTGGAAGAATAATTTATAAAGATTTCTAAAAGAAAAAAAATTGATCGAAATATTTAAGAAATAAAAAGGAAGGAGAAATTGAATTACGAAAATAACGATTTTATTTACGATATAAAAGGATGGAAGATAAAAAATGATTACCGGAATATTTAATCAAAAGAGAATATTAAACATAATTTAAATGGAATAATATTGAATGTAAATCGAAAATGGAATATAAATTGAAAATAAAGGAATCGGGTGATCGAAAGTTTTAATTATAGATGGTAAATAACGTTTTCTTTTTATTTCGATTCATTCTTTTTATTATTTTATAGTATCATCACATTATTTCGTCGAATCGATATTAATATCTGTACTTTCTCTTTATAAATTGAAATTTATTAGTTTATATCTCAATATAATATATCTTTATATTTACGAAACTTTATTCATCAAATTCGATTACAAAACTCGAATATCAGGTACAGATAAAATTTATTCGGAGAAGAGAAACGAGCATGACCATTTCATTCCGCGATCGGAAACGGACTGTTAGATTATTATTATTACTATTGTCCGCTTTTTATTATTACTATCCAATTTTTTAATATTATTATAACCACTTACTATTAATACCATTACCATCATTACTATTACGACAAAAACTATCATAATTAGTAACCATACTATACTTATTAGAATTGTTATCGTTATTACTAAAGGCTAATAAGGATACCAGGATAAAGTTTAAGTTTAGGTGAGGTTGGGTTGGGTTGGGTTCG